TAAGTAGTAGTAGTGTGTGTGTGTGTGTGTGTGTGTGTGTGTGTGTGTGTGTGTGTGTGTGTGTGTGTGTGTGGTGTGTGTGTGTGTGTGTGTGTCCGTGTGAGAGTCCCTCATCACATCTTCCATATAACGACAGCGTAATGCCGTTAATCCTCCTTAATTAGCAAGGCAGATTTGACAACCGTTTAAGATAGGATAAAGGGAGCCACTCATCGTAATTACGCTTCATCATGAGCCATTGTAATGCGCGCGACACGCTTACTCGCATCTTCACTCTTTCGCGATTTAATTCGAATTTTGCGTGGAAGCTCGCGTGCAACGTTGTTATAAATGATTACACATCTCCCGTTTGGGATATATAATTATTTACCGCACCTCGAGTTACTTACGAAAACGAGTTACTTACGAACTACAACTCTCATCTATCTCGCTGCAATTAGTCTGTGAATTCTTTTTAATCATGAATAATAAAGAGATATATATATATATATATATATATACTGTGGAAAAAACTGTTTCTGCCGGCATATCTAAAAATTTGAACAGATTTGAGAATAATTTTTTTGAGTCAAAATAATTACTTAAAATATTTAAGTATGATAATAATATTGCACAAATTTTTGATCTAGTAATCAATTTGAATATCTTACATAATTATTTTGGTCTAACAAAATTATTGTTAGATCTGGCCAAATTTTTAGATACTTTTGTAAATTGGTTTTTTTTCGTGTAATGTTTATTTTTATAGAAATTGCTTATTTGAGAATTTAATAATATATTTATATATACTTAAATATGAAATGTTACTTAAAAATACTTAAATACTTAAAAATATATTAATTAAACAAATGCATGTAAATTCAATTTCCTTTCAATAATTCATCCTTAAAGAATTATTACAGTTGTGTTGAAATTCAGGACGCTTTCTTGAACTCTCGCTTTCAGTTTTCTCGAGGATCGTAGGGGAATTATATCGTCCTTAATTTATCGCATCATCGATACGGATCGAATTCAGATCAAGGCCGCGACAGTTGAGACACACGAGCGAAATTTTCAGAGCAATTATGAAATCAAAACGAGCCCCTCCAACACGATGTATAAATTGAATTATAATCTTACGATGATGCACATATAACTGCATGTGTCTTGCGGTTGCATCGTTTGTAGGATTTCTGAAAATCTTTCCCAGGAATGCTGACCAAAAAGCTGGCGTGCAAAACGTGTTCTTAGAGAGATAATTTTGCGACTCGCGAAACGGAATTTCCCTTTGATGCTAACAAGGTTGCGCATGGCAATGGATACCTTCACCGCAACACATCTGTATCGCATGATTTTAACGAGACACATTAATTTCAATTAACTAGGAACAAGCCCGCCTTAAAACCTTGCGGAAGCGCGGATCTGCACCAGCGACAGAGTAATGAGAGAATTAATGAAAAGGATGAACCATGGTTCACCCGCGCTTTCATTCGCCTCTCACGTCTTAGAAAAAAAAATTTTCTCTTTCTTCCTCCGGAATGGCGGTCAAGTTTACGGGGGCCTAAGCGTGCCCCACTTTCCAACCAAAGAATCGTAATGGGTAATGGACGTGCCGCGAGCGTGCCAGGAAAAGAAATAACGAAACAGATCTCTTCGTGTGTGAGATTTCTCAAAATCTTTTATTCAATTCGTTGAGAACGCTACGTTGGTAGTATCACTTAGTTTTACAAATATACATACGCAATATTTAATTTTTATATATATATACATATATATATTTATAAAAAATTTTATATATATATATATATATATATATATTTGTATAAATCGGCGAAACCCTTAAAAAAAATAAGGGCACCCTTCGAATTAGGGAACAATTGATTTGGTCGGTTTTTCGAGGATTATTTCTGAGGACGGGATGGGGAATTCGATGGAAAGAAAGCGCCTACTCACCGATAGATCGATATCAGTCGTGGCTTTCATCGGGAAATCGGAGATGCGATAGAACGGAAGGGGCATGGTTATATATTACATATGGAATCCCACTCGCGCGGATCGCCAAGTCGCCGCCATCGAAGAATCCGCGATTTCTCCTCGTGGGATCGGATAGAGCGCAAACATTTTGCTTTTGCTTCCGCCGGCTTCGAGTGGAATGCGCAGCTCTCGTCATCGTCGTCTTCATCGTCATCGTTATCGTCATCGTCGTCATACAATCGGTCAACGCGGCCACCGTTGCCACCTCGAGGACTTCGGAGACGTCGCTTTCGGGAGTCTATCACAGATTGCTGGCGCATGATGAACGTTAGCTTTGATCACCAGCTGATAACGAGCTACGCGCGGGAAAAGATACGGCGATTTTCCTTTTATACAGCGTGGAGTGTAATTTCGGATGTGACTTAAGGACGAAGCTGAACGTCATTAAGTTAAACGTCATTGAAGGGACATCTGTGAATGCAAAGAATGGATAGAGAGCTTCATTTTTACTCCATTCATCTTCAGTCCATTAGACTCCGTGCTATTCCAACTGAACAGAACTAATCATCACAGATACGTCGTTTTCAACGATAAAAACAGTGAAAATTATTGACAACTAAGAGCGGTCACTGGAATCTAACGGACTAACGACGAATCTTTCTCCTCGTTTCTCCCGTGTGCTTCGTCGCCTCTCGAAAACCTCAAGGATACTTGGCTGACGCGTCGGTCGGCGATTTCCGGCGTCGTACTTTGACCGCGAAGACTCATGACGTGTCTTTCGACCAACGTCAGGTTAATACGGGAAGAAAAGGATCGGTAGGACTGAGGAGAAAGGAGAAAAAGGAATTTGACTTAGACGAGAAAGAGAATCGCGCTCGCGGCAGTTTAGAAGAAACCGTCACCGGTCGGGTCGTTCACCCAAGGATAGTTGTTGGGACAACGCACGCAAGTCTGGAGGTTGATAGTCTCGCCGGGTACCTCCTTCGAGGTCAACTTGCAAGTGTGCGGTACCCAGCATGCCGGAGGTCCTTCCACTGAACACTTCTCCCGCCAGGGCTCAAAGTTTTTTGATTCGGTGATAGTGCGAGGATTCTGGATCCATTGAATCACCTGGGTCATCGTCACGAAGTATACGTCGTTGTGACTCTGCAGGATCTCGTCGATCCAGTAGAGGAAGGCATCCAGAAACTCGGGATTGTTCTTCAGCCAAGCGGCGTGGAAATAAAGACCAAGGGGTGCGCGATTCTGTTCGTAGTGACGGTCAAAGTTGTGATTGAGGAAATTGTAGAACTGATCGCCGGTCAAGATGTTGCTGCAGGAGTCGACCATGGCGCAGCCGGGCAGATACTCGTCGTTCTGTGGATCTTCGCGCCGATCCAACTCGTTCATCACCATCTCCCACACGGCATGCGATCTGCGAACATTTAACATTTCATTTATTATTATTTAAGATAACCGTCGTTTACGTTTCGTTCGAGATTAATGCTCCTGACCTAGTGGGGCAATGCTGAAGATTTCCATGACAGCGATGCGGCATCCTGAAGTACATAGTGTATGGCCACAATGGGGGATTGTTTAGGGCCGCAGTGATGGTGGAATCGTACAGGAAGGCCTGCTCCTCCATCATAGTAAACTGATTGTTACCGCCGACCCGCAGATACGGCGCCCTGACGCCGACCACGCTGTTATCCGTCAGATTTGCGAACTTCTCGGCGATGATCCTCATGCCGGCCATCTCCTTGGCCCAGTCGTCGACGGTTGCGTCCGACCAGAAGCGCTCGTCGTCGTTGTGCCTTGCCCCAAAGTTGTCATGTAAACATTATGTGTAGTGACCGTGTTCTGATTTTTAACAATTATGACTATGGTCATGAACGACATGACATGATGCATCGTAGGAACAGGCATGCTCGTGAACCTGCCCTCCGATTTACGAATTTGTGAACCTATTCTTCTGGAATCTTGCACACGAACAGGTCTCTCCGTGCTAACTTTGCGAAGAATGTCAAATCGGAACGGAACTTTCTAAATGGCATGTAAATGAGAGAAATGACAATATTATTAAAGAGAGTCAATTCTTACGAGATAGAGTGGACGGCGATCTCGTGACCCTTCCTGTGCATCTCCTGGACCGCGGAGTAGTTGGTGTACTTGTGAGAGACGAAGAAGGTCGCTTTGATGTCGCAACCATTCGGGTTCTTGCGTTTGCCGTTGAAGATCTCTTTGTATAGACCGATGTTATTGTTGTTAATAGCGTCGTCAAAGGTAATCGTGACCATTTGAGGTACATCCTTGGAGGGAAGATCACCGGGAATCGTGGTACCATCCTCCGAGCAGAAGCAATCGGGCAAAGTACACACGGCCGGATCGCATGGTGGAGCTCTATTGGGATCGTTGTCCATATCTAGAGAAAGATATCGAGAAGATTACAATTATTTTGAGTTATGACATTCCTTTTTAAGAGACTTTCGCTTTGCGGTCGGTATGATCACTTGAGTGCCAAAGAATGCCGCTTATTTCGACTTGTTCATTTCGACTTACCGCAAATGTTTTCGTCAGAGCCGTCGGTGCAATCCTTCTCTCCATTACAGAAGAGGCCTCTCTCGATGCAGGACCCGTCACCGCACGCGAGATAGCCGTCTTGACAAAGCGGTTCCTCGGTGTAAAGCAGGGGCTTGGCCTTCCTCTCTTTGTTCTTTAATTTGCAATTGTTGACAGAGTCCTTCCAATCGCAAGTCTGTTTATCGATATCGAAATACAAGCCGGCCGGACATCTTATCGCCTGCAGACCGGAGCTTGTGCATTGAATAACGTCGCGGCAGTTGTCACCCTCGCCGGCAACCAATCTAAACCACTCGCCCGCATCCTTGTCCTTGCAGATTTCGTTCTCGAAGCTCTCTTCCTTTTTCTCCTCTTGCCGCTTAACTCGGTTCGAACCCTCTAAAAGAAAATTACGTGGTTTGCAACGTATTAGAAATTTGATTTATAATTAATTATTTATACGATTCAATAATATCTTAGATAAAAAAAACGCACTCGTTTTTTAATTATTTGTTAATATAAATATAACAAATTTGTAATTAAATTCCTGTCTTTCTATGGATTATAAAAAAATATTTATAATTTATTTTTAATATTACAACATTTCTGTCTATCACAATTATTATACTATGTACAAGTAATTATATGTTTTTTTAATGTTTTATAGTTATTTTGTAAGATTTATATCTATCAACTTTTTTAAAAATTTGACTCTTCCGCGTATTTTTTTATAAAAAAAAAATACAAAGCAAGATTTGTTTAACAATCTTGCGAATTTAAGGATATGAATTAATATTTTAATCATCAAATTTGATTCTTAGAAACGTTATACAGAATTTCTTCATGATTTGAAGAAATAGCTTACGAACAAAAGAACGTCTCAATCCCGTTGGTCCTCCGGGCTCATGAGACGACTTCACTACGAGCGGAGCGACAAACAGGGAAAGTTGTGCCCCCACCCGCGCCATTTTCAGAGACTCGGGGCACGGCAGTGACGTCATCCATCCGGGACCGACCGGACCGAGAAGCTTTCACGCTCTAATCTCTTATGCAACTTGTCGTCCCGATGATCGACCGTTTATATTGAATTATTCCTATCGCTACACAAACTTGTCTGCGACGTGAAAAAAAAAGAAAAACCAGCTTCGAGACTTCATGGCGGAAACTACAAGAATAGACTATGAAAATGTCAAGCGCCAGATTGCAGTGGCACTTTCGCCATCTTGAATGGCTCTGCGCGACCTCACGTGTCCATTTGTGCGATGTTCGAGAGATATTTCTCATTTTAATTAATTATGAGCACTTTTTAAATTTTTATCTTTATCTGTTCTTAAAAAATATATTTATACACGTATCTCTAATAATTCAATTAATAGTCTCAATTCAATATATAGTCTCAATTATTCAAGATTTTTATGAAGAACGTACGCTTACATTTACATCGCCCACAATATTGCAGATTATTTTCAACAAAATTGAATCGCAGTAATTCTTATGCAATTTATGAAGACGAAGGCAAAACAAAAGGCGGAAGATAATTAACGCGTTTAATCAATGAAAGAATGCGGTTTGGATCGAGCGATTTTATGGATTTTGTAAAAATCGTCTCCCACATACGTTGCGATGTAAGACCTGGAGAACTCTCACATGCTGCCCCGCCACGCGGAAATACGATAGCCGTATACACTAGTATCGGCTAATGTAGAGCGATATCGGTGATAGTGAAAGAGCTGAACAGAGAAATCTGTTACTCACCGGCAAGGACGAAAGCTGCTACCAGGAGCAGCACCAGCGAGGACCTCATAGTCCTGACCCTCAACAGGGAATGCAATTTCCTCTCCTTGATCACGTTGTCGTCGTAGTCGTCTTGCCACAAGCTGCTTCCAGGGTACCACCCAACTCTTTATCCCTCAATCACTCCCGTTCAACTGACGTTTGAAACGCTGTTCAAAGAAGGCTGTTCAAGAAGGGATGAAAGAGAACTGATCGGGGAGAGATGGCGACGTTAGCCGTTCACTACTTCCGAGGGCGGGGTAAAGCGCGGGTGGGAGTCAAATGCTTAGGCAAGAACCCTAATTCTTACGAGGGAAACCCAGGTTAGATCTCGGCCGCGAGACGCCCAACGGCGATCCTCTTCGTCTAACGACACACGAATTGGGCGAGGACGAGTAACGCCTTCAAGGACGCGGACCTTGAAGGTGTAGGTACCGCTTACGGACTGGCTGAGGCCCGCCACTCGTCGGGCCTTATATTGCCACCACCACGACGGTGCACGATCAGGGTCCCCTCTTTCTCATCTTTGAGCATTACCGCCCGCGTAGATCGTACCACCAGGAACGTACGTATCGTCCAAGACACCTCAAATACGATATACCAATAGGTGAAAATCCAACTAGAAGAAGCGAGTATTTGCATTCTTCTAAGTCGATTGCAGTCATTGACAGTTCAATGTAAATTTCTTTCTCATCTTAAAAATGATATAATTGCACAATTGTTATATGCAACGTTTGACATATTCATATAATGTGATAATTTTTGAAAACAATAGAATATGTTACAAAATCGTAAATTCGAAGCAGTGACGGTATAAGGTTTATTTATCCATGCCATAATTCTGCAAAGCTATGTGAATCCTGATAGGGAGTTCCTTGAAGATATTTTGATCTGTGATTATCATTAATCGCTCGTTTATAAGAAGAGTGATTGGTCAATAATTTCTCGGCAGTATGAAAGTACAAGGTACAGCAATTTATCTAGTGTCAGTGGTAAGTTTTCCGAGCGTACGACCTCGACCTAGGAGCTTAAAGAGAAATATCTGCGTCAACTAATCTCTCGGCTCTTGAATACCCCTCATACTTCCTCGCATAAAATTCCCATACGATATGGTATATGATTCGCTATTCTCGTTGATTTTATCTCTATCGTTATTAATCGAAAGTACATAAATTAAGTTTAGCGACACGAAAATTTATGGCGAGCGATCTAAAAATGATAAAACGATTACACAATCAATTACTATGTAGAGTATTTTTTATAACACAAGAAAATATTATATATTATAATATTATATATATTACAACACGAGGAAATATATTTATATATATATATATATTTTTTTTACGCATGAAACATCGTAAAATTAATTGCAACCAGCAAATCGAAATAATTTTATAATTAAAAATAATTTTAATTCATATTAATCATATCTGTATACAATTTTATTTTAAAGAAATCTAGGATAGCTTTCAAATTTTTTCGCACAAACGAAGAATATACAATCGATATACAATCGTCGTTGATATTTTAGAAGAATTCACGTTAATAAGACGAGAAAATGATGAGAAGTAACGGATGACGTAAGTTTGTCAAGGTCGAAAGAATAACGACCTCCTTCGGTAGTATTTCGGCGAATAAAATCAAGGGACGTTCAAGGAACGCGAAGCGCTTCGAAGGTGCAATCGGAATACCGGGATTGCGGAGACATCGTCGCCATTGAGACGCCGTCGAAGAAATAACGATGATACTTGCCTCTCACGCATCGTGGATTCAATCGACGTTTCTTAAACGTCTCTTAAACGTCTCTTAGTTTATCGGCTTTAAACCGCAGTCGTTTCCCCGATGGGGAGGGGGGGGGGAAGCGAATCCGTTTTGTTGAAATTCTCTCTTGTAGCAACGAAACGTTGCAACGTTTTCAACAATTCGAGTTATCTACGGGTTCGTAACCGCGTTTGCAGCATCCAGTATGCATTCGGGGAGTTTTATCCGCACTTCCGGCGATGTAGTAAAGTAGTTCGTGCACGTCGCAAATCTGTCTGCCGTGCACGCGCATCGTAGACCGAGTATGAAAGCCGAGTAGAAAATGGGGCGTTCCCGGTTGTAATTACTGGAAAGTCGCGCGAACGATACTATTAACGTTATCACTAGCGTCCGAGCGTTTTTACGTAATATTTGTTTATATCAATCAATTGCGAAAATTTGCCTGCGTCGCGCGGCAGCTTTCTACAATGACCTAAGATTTTTACATAACGCCGAGAAATGAAGCGAATAAATATTTCGTTCCCGTCGCTCCCGTCGCATTGCGTTTTCTTGCGATATTATTTTTACGCGAACGAAACGCGATCGCGTTGCGTCGCATCGCGTCTATCATCATCGTCGGCAGTCGTCGTCGTCGTCGTCGTCGTCGTCGTCGTCGTGGATCTGCGGTCGAAAGTGAAACGGAGTCGTGGACGCAACGGGTTTCGTTCGCGGGCCGGATGCCTCTCGTGCCGATTAATGATAGGCCGATAGATCGAAGTATCACAATATCGTGACACACAATCATCTCTCGAAAGCGGCGCGTCGCCGCCTCTCGACGCAACACGGCGCCCGGTAATTACCCGCGGGCGTCGTCCGGGCAGATCTGCTTTTTCAAATGTCAAAGCACAAGAAGGAGCGAGAAGGGGAGAGGAGGGCAAGGGTTTGTTTGGCATTTTGGACAGACCGGCGGACGCGCTTATTGCACCATCGTCGTCGACTCTCGTCGAGATAAATGCCAAGCGATGCTCGCGAATCTCTCCGGCAGATTCCGGCGCGGAATCGCTTTTCGTTTACTCGGCGAGAGAAGCATTGTGGACTCGCGCGCGAGAATGCATCCTTTGTCGATTGCGAATTCCATGGCGGCAATGCGCGATCGTGCAACGCGACGATCGACGCGATTCGATGAATACGTTGTTACGGCGACAATACTTTAGCGACTTTTTTATTTAAGATTTTTTTTTTTATATAGAATTCGTGCGTGTTCAATTTTATTATTATTTCAACTATTTTTAGCGTTTACTTCGAATGATTTTCGCTCGGATAAAAAATTCTATTTTTTATAATATGTTCGCGTATAAAAAAAATGAAATATCTCTCTGAAGTGCATGATGTTTTTCATTTTCCAGTAGTAATCGGATATTGCGCGCCTCTCCATATGGTGCAACCGTCGACACAATGTTCACTGAGCAGTGAACTCGAAACTGTGTAAACTAGAAAGTATGTCTCGATCTAAAACGCACGGCTACAAAAATTATAAACTTACATCTTGGAGAACGTTACTCATTCCGCTACTTTACGCCTTGTCTCGATCTTTCAACGATCTTCGTCTTTCTTTCCGATATGATCGCGGGTGCATCGGCTTCTTCGTCCGGGATCCGTCGCGGGATCCACACGCGTCAGGAATTTGCCCTTTGCCAGATATAAAACTAAGCAACCGCGCAAAATGCCACTTAGCTTGCCTAAGTAACGGCGCGAAAGTATCGGAACGCGCTATCATTATCCTCCAATTACACGGCTTAACGGCATTCTTGTCGTCGCTCGGATCGACATTTTCCCAAATTCATTACGCGCCGCGATTGATCGTCGCGCGTCGACCACGTGGATCATTAAATCGTCGTCGTGAGAGGAGAAAATCCTCATGATGAGAAGATCCTTCTCTTACGACTTCCTCGATCGCGATCCGCGTCGGGGTTTCGCTCGCGAGAGCAGGAAGTGCACGCGGAGGATGCGTTCACCCATCCTCGTCGAGCGAGCGGCAGGTTACGTTTTCTTGAGCCGGCGATCGAGTCTTGTAAGTTTGTAAGTGCAACGATGATTCACGTAATTGCAACCGCCGAACGGAGCGTGATCGCGGCGCGTCTTTTCCTCATCACCGGACTGCGACTTAGAAAGCGGCACGGAGACCTCGGAGGATCGCGTTATCGATAAGGTCATCCATCGTGTAGTGTTCAACGTCGGCGATATGTAGCCGTCGGCACGCCCAAAAGAGAAAAATCCGCGGGATCGATTATCGCGAGGCACACGGAATTAATTTGTCACGAAGCGAGGCGCAATGATCGATGCGATCGGTTGGATCGACGGACTTTAAAGAAAAAGAGGTTTCGGAACGAAATGTCAATGGTAATGTCATCGAATATAATAATAATAGTGAAAAAAAATCACGATGGCATACGCGGCACTCTGGCAAATGTACATAATTTAGTTCCCCAGCAAATAGAACGATTTAGGTATAATTTCACGTTTGGCTTAGTTATAGTTTTCGATTCTACGGGCTGATGCACACGACGATCTTCGGCGGGACTCTTTGGGGAATTTCGATATATTACGAATTTTAAATTTTACGAGCGACGTAAATTCTCTACGGTAAGTGAATCGCAAGAGAGGTTTACGTCGCGGGATACCGCGTACCATGAATCTTGGGTTGGATAGAGGCAGTCGATCCCTCGGGGATCCCTTGCTTCCTTATCATCGTGAAGAGGACGAGCCAGGGATGAGAGTCAGGATCGAGTTCGGGACAGATCGGTGCGGCCCTGACGTGACATATGCCACGGCGGTGAAAGGAAAGAAGAGACGAGACAACGGTACGCGTGTCGGCGGCAAAAGGAGCACCTTCGACGAAGCCTTCGAGGCGGTGAGCTTTCTCTGCCCGCGGCCAAAGCGTCACCGATCGCCGCCATCGATATTTTACGCACACCGTGTAGAATCGCTTGCTTCTACCGTAAACTCCATCTCTCGTTGATCCAGCACACTGCTGTCGATTCTCGATCCTCGATCGCAAGGTTTTCGAATCGGGGGCTCATCATCATCTCACGGATTTGCATCTTCAAAGCAAATTTCTGATTCAAGAAATAGTTTAATGGTGTTAGATGAGTCTTACAAGATCTAGATAGAACATGTATGTAGATCAACGAGAAAAATTAATTAGATGATTGCGAGTGATCGTACATCGGTGCGGGCGCGCTACCGAACGATGCTGCCATCGCGAATCGATCACTGAGATTTCTCCTCTCCGAGCATTGATCGATAAATCTCGATCAATTTGCAAGTGAATCGTTTGCACGAAATTGGAAATAATTTACATGGATTTTTCGCTGCTTCTTTTTGACTTTTATCAAAGCTCACGCGACGAGGCAATCCGCTCGGTTTTACGTACAAATTATGGCACACAGGCACGCGACGTATTGTCAAAGCTCGAAGTTTGAATTAATCAAAGCGAGCACGAAAGTGCCAGTCAGACGGCGTTGGATGCATAACGTGTCGCACGATGCAACGAGACATCGTGAAATTTCCCAATACCTCGGAGAAACGCGAGCAACTGCGAGTCGCAATTTTCTCCCGCAATTTTCGTAATGATGTCATGAAATAAACGCAACGCGGTTTGATAATGCCGTCCCCGCGGCCTTATCCATCGATCGGCGGTCGGCGTCTGCATAAAACATGTAAATTCGAGCAACATTAATACGCAATATATGTAAACAGATATATGGAGATTTATATGCGATAGAATTTCACCATCGCCATATTTCATATTTTATTTTATCCTTTTTTTCTTTCTAATTTACATGAGCCAGGTATATTGGATATTTTAAGGAAAACAAACCTTGAAAATCGTCCCTCGAAACCGACATCTTCAAGGTGGAGGCTATTTATATTTCCCGCATTTGAGACGGATGAAAATAGAAAGTCCTTTAGGAGTATTACGTACTGTTGAATATTCAGGGGCTCGCGCTCTGTTTCACAAGGTGCAAGGGATTTCATGTGCACACCTTGCAGAATGCGCAGTTTAGTACCTGCAGTTGACCGAATGGCCTCACTAAATCTTGTCTGCTAAACGCAAAACTTCGCACGAGCCTGTTCTCGATTTTAGACCGCATCAAAACGCCTCAATTTCTCTCCGCGTTATTCCTTGCGAAGGCTTCGTTGCACGTAATTAAATATTCAGACGGAATCGAAAGTTGATTCAGTAGAAAAAAAAAACATGATTTTTCTGAGAGAGACATTTCAATTCACATGGATAAGTGATAATAGTATACAGTTTGATAAAACGGAACTTTTTTCCAATATAAAAACAAGACTGGTCACTTTTTGTAGCGGCAAGAAATTACAAAAATAATCCTGTTCTTGTTCAAATTCTTTTTCAAATTATATAATATGTTTCGTAGATAATAAAATCGATATGAATAAAATTATTAACAAAATTGACGAGATATAACTTATACATATAACTTATACATATTAACTTACGTGTTTTCGAGATAAACGAGTTATATGTAATCAACTGAAAGCATCATATTTATCTGTCAATGATCGATAGGAACGATTTTCGATAAGGGACGCACAATTTCGCGAGCACTACACCCTCGAGATATTCAACCCCCTCCCCTCCCCTCCCCCTCTCTCCTCGACCAAGACCTTGACTGTCGATTATTAGGTCGTCTTGAGACTAAATGGGCAAACGCGTGTCCTCACCGGTATTCAATTTACCGGATACGGATCGGTCTCGGAGGACTTATGACATATCGATCACGTAATGTGATGCGCGTTACGCCATCGATCGCCTCGCGTATCAGGGTAATCTAGGTGACAGGGAGAAGTCCGCGAGGGAGAATCGACCTGTTTTTTTTTTTTTTTTTACGCACGTTCACGCATGAAAACGCCGTGCCGAATCGTGCGACGGCGACAGCTCTCTTTCGAAGTTTAACGCCGGCGTCGAAACCCCGAGCATTTATTGCCGTAAGTCACGCGCGACGAGCGTGACACGTGCCGCTGGAAATTACGTTGCAGTCGCGCGCACGTTGCGTGGCGTGGCGCATCAGGACCCTCGCGGCCCTGTTTCGCCTGCACCGCGGACCGGTCGGGCTGTCGGGAACAGGTATGTAGGTATATCGATTTCAGCGGGACGAAGGGAAGTCGGAAGATCATCCCGAGCACACGAGTCTGGCTAGTCGCCGCCGGCGTTAGAAACGGGATCTCCAGGGCCGTAACAAACGGCCGGCGCTCTCACCCCTGCGTGGCCGCTGGTGATGACCTTGACCTAC